TCGATTTTGCCTCAAAAAACTTCATTTTTCCTGTTTTTACCTCCAAAATGCTCCTTCCGCCGTAGTTTTAATACGATTTTAGCTTTTTTTAAATGTTCGTTGCACTCTAAAGAATAAAGTTAACCATAGATTTTAGGGGAGGGTGAGGCAGAACGGACCAGGCGGGCAAAACGGACCACTGACATAAATACCAATTGGTAATTGGTAATTTTTTTTTCTTTCCTTCAAATCAGGAACATTGAATGTGTTGAATTAAAAGTGAGTTTCTTGGATGGTAACTGTTACACGGCTTTTATAGACAAGTGCCGTTGAACCGCAATTTGATCAGATTTGCTAATCACCTCAAACCACAAACGACTTTGAGAAACCAAGATTTCCTACACGGACCCGAGTCGAATAATTGGACCTGACAAATTCTACTTAGGTCTCTCCGTTCAGAACTGGATAGGTCTTGGGAAGCCTCTTCCCAAGTGCTTCCGAGACCTTTCTACCTCTGGTTATGTCCCACTTCAGCACTTGTTAGGTGTAAGCAGGACTTGCATTCAGACTTTCCAAATCCTTGCCGGTCCCCGTAATTCTATGGGCCTATATTAAATCTGCGTTCGTATCCCTGTTTACTCATGCGTTATTGAAATAAAAAATGCAATTATTGTTTTTTTTTTAATCTCGAAAATCGACATTTCACGGGAGGGTGGAGGGGAGATGCATGTATGCGGAGGCTTGACATTTTTACCCAACAAGCGGCAAAGGTTGCAGAATCTATTCTAGCCACTCTTGCCCCTCCGCTTGCATGCATTGTCAAAATAAAAAATGAAAGTTTTAACTAATCTGACCCTTGTTCCAAGTAAAAACCGAAAATCTGACCCTGTGGCCGCCGGTGAAAATTTTTTTTTTCAGTTTTCACTTTTTCCACATACTTTTGAGAGTTCTGAATAGCCCGTCGCTTAAATAGTTGGAATCAACGTTCACCCGGCTAAAAAATTCGATTTTGGCGAAAGTCGACTTTCTCCCGAGAAAAACGAAAAATCTGACCCTTTGAAAATTTGAAAAAAAAAACTTTTTCAGTTTACACTTTTTCCACATACTTTTGAGAGTTCTGAATAGCCCGTCGCTTAAATAGTTGGAATCAACGTTCACCCGGCTAAAAAATTCGATTTTGGCGAAAAATCCAAGATCTGGCAAGGGTCAAAGGACCCTTG